ATCAACCCATCTCTAATAAATATCGGGTGATGATCACAAAGCATCAACCCCTTTTCTACTAATTAACTGGGTGATGACCACAAAGCATCAACCCGTTTCTACTACTTATCGGGTGACAATCACAAAGCATCAACCCATCTCTAATGGCTATTCGGGTGGTGATCACAAAGCATCAACCCGATTCTCATAACTGTCGGGTGATGATCACAAAGCATCAACCCATTTCTACTACTCTTCTCATTCACTCTATTCTAGCATTTTTCATTCTCTCTACCTTTAGAGTAGATGCATCCACACAGTTCTCTACTCATAGAGCAAGTGCATACACAAAGTCTCCTACTCTTTCTTAGGTCACTTCTCAATGCACAATTAATGCCTATGGATGGTTTATCTCCATTAATGCACTTATGAAATGCCAACATGCAATGTTGCAAGAATTAAGGTTCACTACTCATACTCAAACCTCTATTAGGCATTTCATCAAACAACTCAAGTGCATTATAAAACTCTACTATAGCAATGATTCTAAATCTTTCTCTAGCCATCCAAAATGGGGAGAAACCCCCTCACATAGCCACATAACCTGCCAAAGAAAGACACTTCCAAAAAGGTTCCACAATACCCCTTCAATTCCATCTCAAACTACCTTTCCAACCCACAACTCACTTCTTATATTTGAAAGGTATAAACAATCACAAAGCACTAGAAATCTCTATTTAAGCCTCAATAACATGGCATATAACATGTATATAACACACATACATAAGTGCTATCAAAACCCTAATCAAGAAAATTCCCAAATCTCAACTTGGGTTGGGGTTTACTTACCTTGTTATGGAGAGATTTCACTAACTCTTCCTTTCACTTGGTTTGCTTGACTTTTTCTCTACTCTTAAACAAAAGAACAAAAACCCTCAATATTCAATATATACAAAAACTCACAAAGCTTCACAACCAAAGCAAGAATCCTTACCTTAGGATGCCTTAGGTTGATTTTCTACCCCAAATCACTCCAAAAGCCCTTTAAAACTCCTTGAACAAAAGAAAGAGAAATTGAGAGGAAGCAAGAGAGGAAAGTGGCGTTGGAGAAGAAGAATGAAGGGTTTGCAATGTCTTAATTCCTTTTAATGAAATTTATACACAAGCATTCCCATTTTGCCCTTACTCTTCTTTGGGAATTCTATCTATATCCTTTGATTCATTACAAACACACCCCCATATCAACATATTCTCCATGAAAAATCCTTACATTTTACTCCCCACTTTTCCTGCTAATTAGGGGTAGAATGGTCAAATTGCCCTTAGGGAAGAAAATATCTAAAACTTAATAAACATTTTGGTCGGCCTGTCGCTGCGACGAGGAAACTCCTGTCGCCGCGGTGAAACTGTCCAGCAGCTTCCCCGTGGCTTCAACACCTCTTCGCCGCGGCGAAGATTCTTCTTCGCCCCGGCGAAGCTTGGCACACTGAACTTCTTCTATTTTCAACCAATTTCAGGGCAAGTATTCAACATAACACTCAATCAAAGGTCAATCAAACAATATTACCTAGATACCAACTCAAATAAAAGCAAAAGAAGAAACAATAACTACGTACCTCAAGTGGGGCGTTACAGTTAGCATCTCTAGAAAGTTGCGTAAATCTTCAAGAGCATGGTATTTGTGGAGTTTACATCTTCCAAAATTTAATTGCTCTTGAAGTGTGACCTGTTGCTCTTCGAAAATCTTGAACAACATATTAAGAGAACACCATCTGGAGGTAGCTCCTCACAAATTGTGGCCAAAACTTGCCAAGAAAAGCACAGGGATTGGTAATTTATAACAACACAAAAGAATAAACTGATAAAATATAGACAATAAAGTTTTTTTATTTTTTTATTTTTGATGAGCCATAGGTTACTGGCCATGTGCACTTTATTGGATGCTAGGCTTTATGGATTACTGCCAGATCCCACAATTTTATTTCCAACCTCCTCACTGAAAACCAAGGATCATACCATCCAATCCACTACTTGAGTTTATCTCCTTTCTAGATAAAAATATAGTATATATCTATTTTGAGCACCATCGATAACGCAACATTATTGGCTCAACCCAACACCTCAAAATCTCTCTAACTGTTTCAATACTATATGACAGAAACATTGACAATTCCTTAGCCTTGTTTACAATACATGCAAACCATTGAAAATTCTCCTAAATCATTGGAAAGGAAAGATGAATATTGAAGATAGAGTTAAATACAATGTAACTGCAGACCTACCCAAAAATTCAACAAGAGGCCTGTTCCTTCTCTCCCTAACCAAAAATATGAATAATTAACTGCAAACCTGTCCAAAAACAAATGAAATTTGTAAAGAATAAATAATGACTAATACATGACCTCCAAATCCTACAGACCAAACACAAATCAACTTACTATTGCATCGAAATATGAAAAACCAAGAACAACAAGAGGTCTTTCACAGTTACTTTCACTCGGGAAATACTTTTTGAAAAACCTTCACACATACACACCATCTACGACAGCCAAGAACAACAACAAGTCTTTCACAGTTAACAAGCGCACATAGGATCAATAGGCCGAGTGTCATGAGCCATTGCTTTGTGTTTTGAGTTTTAGAACTCCCTATGCATTAAATTAAGTACTTAACGTTAGAGTTTCAACATAAGGTAACTGTAACACACCAGACTTTCAAGTCTTGCGACTTATATTGATTTCATGTTGTGTCCGAACAGGACGAGGTCCCAGAGGCAATTGCATTGAGCTTGGTTCTGGCACTGCCACCATTTCTTGTTCACTAGCACTTGAATCTCCATGGTGGTGAGACTCATTGCTTTGTGTTTTGAGTTTTAGAACTCCTTGTACATTAAATTAAGTGCTTAACATTAGAGTTTCAAAATAAGGGAACTGTAACACACTAGACTTTCAAAATTAGATTATTTGTGAATTTAAAAAATAAGATCTAATGCAAGTTGGTGAATATAAAAACCCAGATTAGTACTCTTGAGTGAAAAGCTACTAGATCCATCAAATAGTACATGATTTGCAGTACTGTTGAAAATATTAAGAAGTAACCAGTTCCACTGTAGTCGTGTCTTCAAGCAATACAAAATGGACATGATTGTGGGAAAATACCATTTGTAATTCAAAGTACACAAAATAGTCTTCAGGATTCAATGTCCCCCATTGTAGTGGAAGGCTAGTTAACATATTTTAACTAAATTTCAAAGAAGAATCCCTCACCTTAAGTACCAAAGTAGTGCTAAAGCGAGTAGTGCAAGTTGGATAGACATAGTCGTACAATTCAGTACCCAAAGAACTTCACACTACAATATTCAATCGTCCTCCACCTACGTTGCTTCCCAGCGGTTCTCTCCCTCACACGTCATCTATTGTCTCTGTTTACGTGTCGTTGCTGTTCAATGAAGCTCACTCTATCATGGTGGCTGGTTTTAATTCGTCCTCCCCTGTCGCTAGTTTTTGTTTTGCTGGTCATCGTTGATGGTTTTGTTAGGTCGCCATCGATAGTTGCCGTTCAGTTGCTCAAGCACCTTCGCAAACAAAGAACAAAGCCGTAACTTTTCGTTTACTCTTTTTTTTTTTTTATTCAATGTCAACTATTGTGGACACGTGTCAATCACCCAATGAATCTTTCAATCGAAGCTACGCTCCATACCTCGAGAAAGATAATTAAAATTTAAAACTTTATGGTTTTACATAAAATTACTATGTTACCCTTTAGTAGACGAAAATCACTCACAAAGAATGACAGAAGGTACCTGTTTGTCATTTCCAAACTATTTGGGTACCAAATTATCTTTATGGCAAACCTTGGGTGGGTGTATATTGTTCAACCTTATTTAGAAAGTAAGATATATTTCTATCATCCAAAAAATAATAATATTAAAATGGTGCAAAACGAAACAAAATATTATTGATTATTATAATTTCTAATTATGTTATTAATCATCATAATGTATCGTCAACTTCTTTTTCTCGTTTGTCAAAAAAGTTTAGAATTATTAATCGGAGTAAACGACATTTCCACCCACTGTTAATCAAATTTGTTATCTACATGGTATAGTCAATGCAAAGACAAAAATACCCTTTAATCCAACACCAAATCCATATTCCATACCCAAAACCCAAACGGCCAAACCCCATCATCTCAACCAAACCGCACCTCACCTCCACCACGCACCCATCAGCCACCATCCCACCACCACCATATTCCGATCCCGATCCATCCCACCTATGCCTCCACCGTCATGCCACCATCAATCTTCTCACACAAATCAACACAACATGCATGCACAATCAGTCATGTAGCTAAGTGTGCATAGGACAGGCGTGCACGAACAAGCATGAAACTGTAGTGTGAGAACAAGGCAAACCAGCAGGATGGCACAGGCACAGACACAAGCAGCTTGAGACAAATGTCGTGCGAAAAATTTATTAAGTTTTATATTTGACGTTATCAATTTATTATTTAATGTATTACAATTTACAATTTACAATTTACAAGTCTCAAGTTTCATATATAATAGAACTCCCAATTCGATTTTGCCCAAATGTTAATCGGGTGGGGGATTTTGGTTTGTTAATGTAAAATTACTTAAAAACCCCCAATGTTGTATACTATTTCAACCTTGGTTCCTTTCTCGGTTCGTAGCAAGATACCCTATTCTCGATTCCTAATAGATTCCCCATTCTTGGGTCCAAAAATAAAAAGAGTAAAACTATAATTATACAAATCTTTTTATAATTAATAAAAAGTAAAAATACATTCCAATATTTTGAAAAGAAAAAGTTACCTAAAAAAAAAAAAAAAATTGAGAGGATAAAATAATTATCCTAAAATAAAATAACTTGTGAGTTGTGATTAAAGAGACCTTTTTTTACTTGGTATATTTAGATATAATTACAAAATTGCCCCGGATCCATTAAACTGTCATAATGCCCTTGATATATTTCAAAAATACAGAATTGCCCTCCATATATATACCCACCAACCCTGACTCTATTTTCCGCCGCTGAAGCATCCGACGCGTCACGCCGCTCAAGTCTCCACGGCCGACGCCGTCACGCCGCACAAGTCTCCACAGCCACAGCCGACGCCGCTCAAGTCTCCACAGCCACAGCCGCCTCGTTCAGGCTCATTGGTGAGGTTTTCGTGGACGTACCTACTAGCGCATGCAGTACAATCGCCGTTTTGTCACTGCTGCTGAGTAATCAGCTTTTAGTAAAAATTTCCCTTTTTTCTTGTTGTCTTGCTTGGCAGCTCTGGTTTTGGTCTTGACCAGTACATCTCGATTTCCCTTTCTTTTATTCATATGGTCCCTGTAGACATGGGTAGCTTCTTATTATTATTATTATTATTTTGGTTAGATTTTAAATGTTGAAACCCGAGTAGATCTTAATACAAATTTCTCAACAGAATGTGTGTGTGTGTATATATAAAAGAAAAGATCGTAATGTAAAATTCTCAACAGAGTGCTGTCATTGCTTTTGGCGTACTGCTGGGTCGTAGGACAAGCCGTTCCAAAGCAGTGCTTTCCTCAGTGATTCTTCTTCTTATTGTATCTTTGAAACATTGTAATCATTGAGGGATTGTGCTCGTTTTATATTAGTAGTGACTGATTACTGAAAATTAATCAACTTTCTAAAAAATAAAAATAAGGAATTTTTATTCTTTTTTTACGATGATGCTGCCTAACATTTGAGATTTACAGGTGCGTGATTCGTGGTTGTGTTCCCAAAAAGATTTTGGTTTACGGAGCTTCTTTTGGAGGTGAAATTGAGGTGAGATATGATGTCATATAAAGCGTTACATGAAATTCATTGCTGAAAGCTTTATGGAACACTTAGCTGAAACTGTAAATATTTGTTGGCCTCTCTTTTGCCCTAGTGCAAAAAGATTTAATGAAGAAATGGTATGTATCCATTGTGAATTTGTGATCATTTTAGTGCTTGCAGATGCCAACTTCTATTCATTGAAATGATCCACTTATGAACTTAATTTATTCATTGAATGGGACTTAGGACCTCTCGTTTTGGCATAGCTTAGATCTTATTTTTTTCTTAGTTTTTTAATTCTTTCAGGATATTTTTTTTTCCCTGTCCGCAGGATTTTCTCTATACTGTAAAACTAAATTCTTACTTCCTATCAGATAAATATCTTTGTATGGACCTTCAGAATATTTGATAATTTGTTCCTCATGGAATCTGGTAGCTTTATTTATGTTTGGTGACAAGAATACACCACATAATATTGAATTTGATTAAGATTGTTGTGCAAAAAATATGATGGCTTTACTTATGCCACCAATTGGTCATGGACGCTTTCTTTTTTCTTTGGTATCTTGGTTTGAGGTAATCCTTCAAAGTTGGTCAAGTATTTCACAAAGTTCTGGTGTTTTCTGCAGTTTTTTAAACTGTGTTGCGTGGGTGTTTTATGCAGTTTTTGAAACTGTATTTTGACTTTTGTGTCTGCAGATTTTTAAACTGTGCTGTGTGGGTGTTTTCTGCAGTTTTTTAAACTGTGTTGTGTGGGTGTTTTATGCAGTTTGTGAAACTGTGTTTTGTGGGTGTTATCTGCAGTTTTTTAAACTGTGTTGTGTGGGTGTTTTCTGCAGATTTTTAAACTGTGCTGTGTGGGTGTTTTCTGCAGTTTTATAAACTATGTTGTGTGGGTGTTTTATGCAGTTTTTTCAACTGTGTTGTGTGGGTGTTTCACCATGTCAACTCAAAACTCTTTACCTTGCAAAAGAAAGAGCTTAGAAGAGGAGATCAATCAATATTCCGAGTCATCAAAAAAAATATCGATTGCGAGTTCCCAAATGCAATCTCCTCCTGATGAAAGTAACCAAATGCAATCTCCTATTGATGAAAGTAACGAACCAATGCCTGCAGATAGTCCTTGTTTAAGCCCTCTCCAGATTTCCCCTGATGATGCTTGGGGTACTGGAATTGGAAGGTCTAAGTCAGTTGTATGGCTACATTTCAAGAAAGTAAAAGTTGATGGCAAGGATAAGGCGGAGTGTAACTATTGTCATAAACAGCTTGTTGGTGGTTCTAAAAATGGGACAAAGCATTTGCATGATCATCTTAGAATTTGTCCAAGGCGAAAGTACCAAGATAAAACACAAAAGACAGTAACCAGTTACCATTTTGATCAAGAGGCGCCGAGAAAGGACCTTGCAAATATGATTATCTCCCCTGTCAACGTGGCACTCCCTGTCGATGCAGGTGTCAAGTCTCCACCACTTGCTTTCCCAATCAGCCAGCCGCCTCCATGCCATTTCCGATCACTCGCCACTGTGACCACCGACAAGTCCACTCCCTCTGCATCTCTTGACCTCAAAGCTACCAAAGGGTATTGACAAAATCTATGGGCTTATTACTTTTCAGGTAAAGTTCGCATTTTTATCATAAAGTTTAAATTTTCATTATTGTTTGACAACGTTTTGTAGAATGAGTGAGTTTCATGATGTTGAGCTCAAAGTCCGGGATTATGAGTTGGACCAATATGGAGTTGTGAGTAATGCTGTCTATGCAAGTTATTGTCAACATGGTAAGAATTTCTTTCACTGATTCTTGTTTACTGTATCCAATTTTTGTTTTGAATGTTTTTAAGTGAAGAGAATTAGATGAGAATTCTAGTTGATGTATTTGGATTTGGATTTGATTGGCTCTTGTTTTGGCTTAAAAGTGTCCAAACTTGTTTCTTCTAATTGTGTGGTATTAGGCAGGGACTTATTTGGCAGATCTCAGCTTCCATTCTATAATTTCTGAAAAGTGAACTCTTGTGCTCCAAATTGGGTTTTAAAGAAGTATTGATTTAGATTGTGACAACAGAGGAAATGTTTTGGATGCTTTCAACAATGGAGATTTTGTTTCTGAATGCATTTTCTTTTTAAGTTCCTAAACAATTTGATTAATATGGTTTTAAATGAAGGAGGTGGTAGGAGTTTCTTGGTTTTGAAACGTGCTCATGTATGTTTTAAAGAATTATGGTGAGTTTTTTCGTCAGTCTTGATGTGGATTGAGTGCTAGTCCTTCAATTTCTTACTCAGGTCGTCATGAGCTTTTGGAAAGGATTGGTATCGATTGTGATGCAGTTGCCCGCACTGGTGATGCATTGGCCCTATCAGAGTTGTCACTCAAATTCCTTTCACCTCTAAGAGTATGCCCTCTGATCTTTAAATCTGTGATTACTAAACCTTTTGTCTAGTTATATATATCAATTTACTTATGTATTATAAGGAACTAAACCTCATGTAAGTACAAAATACTCCTGGTTGGTTATTTTCTCTCACATGGGCACTTATGGATCTAAAGTGATTAATATTTGCATTGGGTTGTCAAAGGAATAAGAATAACTTTCATGGAAAAATCATTGAGCACACATACTTATCTTTGTCCCTCTTGAAACTTTAAATTGAAGTGACCATATTTGGGAAAGATTGCCTTTTGCTTAACCACAAAAGAGTTTCAGTGCTAGCACAATATGCTTCACAATATGCTTGCTTCAATTCATAGCTGCCAGTTTAGTTCTTAAAGGCAAAAATTCCTTAATTACAATGTTCTTATTTATATCCTTCCACATGGTGCATTTGCAACCAGAGTGGAGATAAGTTTGTTGTGAAGGTGAGGATCTATGACTCATCAGCAGCTCGCTTATACTTTGAGCACTTCATCTTTAAGCTGCCAAATGAAGAGGTTTGTCATTCTCAACCCTGAACTGATCCTCTACATTGTTTTTATGAACTGTCATGATGCTCAGTGCTCTGTTACGTTCTGTGCAGCCTATTTTGGAGGCCAAGGCCACAGCAGTTTGGCTCGACAAAAATTATCGCCTTGTCTGTATTCCACCTGAGATGAGATGTAAATTTGTTCAGTTCCTTCACCATGAAGATTCTAACTGATTTAATTACAACGAGAACTTTTTCAACAAAATTCTTACCCGCCGAACCGACAGTACATTTCCCTCACAATATAGCTTTTGCAGCTTCATATTAAGTCTTGGACTCTACAAAACTAATCATACTTGTTCAGCAATATCTGACAAATTTCTTGGGATAAAAAAAAAAGGGGTGGCGGAAGAAATGATCGGCCATGATTTGAGGATTTTAAGAGATTGATTCTTCAACCTTAAGTTGATTTTGACATCATCCTCCTGGAGCTCAAATGCTTACATACCCTCTTGTAGTTGTTTCCTTTGAAATTGTTTACACTTGTGTACATAATTATGCAAGAGATTCCACTTAACTGTTGTTAGCTGTGTTTGGCAGTGTGAGATTATTTTTACTGAAAGTAGCTCTTTTTGGTTCAATTTTTTCATACAAATTGTGTGATAGGAACCATTCTTGATAACTCAACAATTGGGTGAGGCCATGAGTCTTTCATGGGTTTAGATAGAACTCTCGGATGATTGGCTTGTCAAGGGAGGGTGTTCAAGTCCTTATAACCCATATGCCCACACCTTTCACTTCTAATATAGGATCCCAATATTCCATCACGCTTTCGTAACTGACGTCAATGTCGGCCTCTTTATCCCCGTCAACCTCTTTATCTCTTGGGTGACTACGAAGATCCATTTTCCCTCGAGCCTCTATGCCCTTTCTCAGGGTAGTAGTTCAGGCCCAAGGTCAACTGGCCACGTGTGTGCAGGATGTCAATTGATAGGATCATGCTTTAATACCAATTGATAGGAACGTACTTGAATAACTTAACAATTGGGTTGGGTTATGAGTCTTTCATGGGTTTGAATAGAATTCTTCTTGGAAAATCGGTTTGTCAAGGGAGGGTGTCCAAGCCTTTATAACCCATATGCTCACCCCATTCCCTTCCGACTCATCTAAAAACTCAAACAATTGGGCTGGACAGTGGGTCTTTTATGAGTTTGGACAAAACTCTCTTTAGAAAACTGGTTTGTCAAGGGATGATGCTTAAGCCTTTTATAATCCACATGCCCCCTTTTTTCTCTTCCTACGTGAGATCTTAACATTGTGCTTGTTAAGTTGATATTTAATTATCTTTGCATAATGAGAGAAAGGGGATTTTATTTATTTGATAAAAAACTTATTCAATGATATAGCCCTTGGTGCATCATCCGGGGTGTCACGCCCTTTGACAGCGCCAGCACACCCCCAGTGCTTGTCATGACAGCATCCTAGGCCAACAGCAGGTGAGGTGAGGTGAGGGCGCCCACAGACTACGGTCCGTAGAACCAAAACAAAGCACAATCGTGTACGTTTGCTATATGCAGGCATGGAGGAGACTCTGGATTTCTCGCGTCTTTACTACTCAACTACCTCACACGTGAGTTGATTGTCAGGTAAGACCATGTACTTATATTAAATACAGCACTTTGACTACGACACAGCACAATAATCTTTGATCTTCCGATTAGAAACAAATTGAAGTCCAGTCTACACTTTGAATAATCAAGAAATGGAAGAAGAGGGAAAGAAGAAGGTGATGGTAGCAATTGATGAGAGCGATTGTAGCCACTACGCTCTCAAATGGGCTCTTGAAACTCTCGGTGATACCATCTCCAATTCTCAATTTATCCTCTTCACTGCACAGCCTGCTGATTTTATTTATGTTTATGCTTCCACTTACGGTGCTGCTCGTACGTTTTTCTCTCTCTGTGTCTCTCTGCGTTTGATTTTGTTTTAATTAAGTATGCTTTCAAATGATTCTGATTATGGATATTTACTGGGGATTTTGATTCTTTGGTTCTCTTCTTTTGCAATAGTTATAATTTTTGTGAATTGGGGAGAAAATTTTTATGATCCAATTTCATGTCTTTCAGCTCCGGACTTGATAACTTCGATGCAAGAAAATCAAAAGAAGGTTGCAATTGCTCTACTCAACAGAGCGAAGGAGATCTGCACCCAGCATGGGGTATAATTTTCTTTACACTGATGCTTGGTCTAAAATTTTTCATGTTGGATATGATGATGAACTTCATTGTTTTAGATCTTATTTTCTACAATTTTATGGTTGTTTAAAGAATGAGAATTGGCAAAATAAGTAGATCCTGGAATGGTTTTAGCAAAACATTAACAGAAAATTGATTACTTACTATAGATTGAGGCCGAGACATTGACAGAAGCTGGGAATCCTAAAGAGGTAATTTGTGCAACTGCTGAAAAGCTCAATGTCCAATTGCTTATAGTAGGCAGCCACAGCCGTGGAGCAATAAAGAGGTTAGTCTTAAACACTTAGGAATCTAAATCGCTATCTCAATCGTGGCATGTTTATGTGTTCATCAACAATAGGATTAGTATTCTAATGATAAATTTTCTTGACAATTCTTATATGGATAATGTGGTTTCATTGGGACAGGGCTTTCCTGGGAAGTGTCAGCAATTACTGTGTTCATAATGCTAAGTGCCCTGTACTGGTGGTGAGGAAACCAGCTTGAAGATTTAGAAGCTACTTTAAGAGCTGAAGCTCAATGCAAAAACAGCTCAACTCCAGTTCTGAGAAGATCAGAAATCATGCTGTGTTTTCGATACCTACTTGTTATTTGTAAGTAATTGTTCAAAGCTGTTTGATATGATTGTAATTAAGTTCCGTAAAAAGACATTGAATTTGTAATGATACAAATAAGTTAATGTGGCTTCGTCAGTTTATCTTCCTCACTTTTAACTTCATCTTCTTCAACATTTTCTGTTCTCAATCTCAACAATAAGAAGAAAACTCCCTCTTTAAACCCATCGTTATCATCATAATAGATCAAATCGGCCCTTAATTCAAATAGTAAATGTAAATCTAAGGCTATCATTATCATGAGATAGTAAAAACATGAAATTATTTGTTCTTACAACCAGAAGACTCACAAACTTAGCCATTTCAATTTGACACTACAACATGTAGTAGATGGTAATCAATTCAGAAATAGGATTCTGAGATTTGGTTACAATGTTTCCCCTTTTCTTTTTCTGAGGCTTTCTTTTTCCCATCCTCTGTTTTCAATTTCCTGATCCTGACAATTGGTGGGTTTGGGATTGGGAACCAGAAGCTATAGGAACTGCCAAACCTCCATCTTACTGTCAATGTTTCCTCATCACATTTTCCTTCTGATGCACACCTGCCCCTGCCCACGCCGTCTCTGTTGCCTTGCCTTTAACACTCCTACTCTGCTGCAAGAATAGCTGATTCAAGTGAGGCTCACTGTTTGCCTTGTTGACTGCAACCTCTTGCAAACTTCTCTAATGTTGAAATGTTGTTCTTCACTTGCTGACCATGAAATCAATTATTTTCAAAAAAAAATTATCAGTGTTTAAATGGCACTACATTAATCTAACCACCAAGTAAATAAAAATGCAAATTACCATGCAACAACTTCGAGTCATAACCAGCAATTGAAAAAAAGTTGACAAATTTAGGATGATATTGTAAAAATAAGGCGCCATATTAAATGAACTTTATCTAATCAGCATAAAGTTGCTTCAATTCTTTAAGCATGCTGACTGCTTCATCCATCTGGCTTTTCAAAGGGTTCTTCTGAACGTTTTCACATTCCATTGCCGCAGTAAAAGACGAATACATTTGTCTACATCCAACTGTAAAATCACAAAATAATAAAACCCCGCTCATCATTACTTACATCTGCATTCAACTGATGTGAAAAAAGAAATGGCACACCTTAACTCTTGGGGCATTCAAAAAATGCTCTTTTGATCTTCGCATTTCCTATCAAAACTAACGCTTCATGTGTTTCTGAGAAAACTCCAGGGTCATGAACAGTTTATGCTCATTTATGGTCCGGGTGATTGAATCCTTATTGGAAGGATAGCGAATTTGAAGACGGAAGAATTGAACTCAATCCTTGGCCACGACAGTGACGAAGAGATAATCTTGTGCAATTAGTAGCTCCAGTTTAGCTCCAGAATGGCCTTGAGAAGCTTTAGACTCAACCCATAGAATCTACAGGTAAATATAAAATAAGACTGGTTTTAGAAAATGAAGAGAAAAAAAAGGAAAGCAACCTTATGACTGAAAAGATTTTGATTAGAAATTGTTGAACGGTGATACCATGCGGAAATGATGAAGTCAACGCACGGTGGGAGTTGCAAGATTTGGCGCCACGGTTTGAAAGCTACTGTGCATGAAGAAGTTGTTTTTGGTCACTGTTTAGAAAATATTTCAGTGATCTGTTTAGGTGATGTAGTTGAAAAATATGTAATTGATATGTTTGTACGTGCATTAGTTGGAGTGTTTGGTTTAAATTTAAATTTGCAGCTTTAGGTGGAACAGTGGCGTGGTGCTTTGTATAAATCTACCCCTGTTTTTTGAATGTAAAACGAGCAAATTTCAGTTCAGATTTTCCTCTCTACAGCTCTCTCTCACGTCAGTTTTTGGTCCTCTTTTCTTAGTATACTCTAGCTCTAAAAACCAACAGTGGTATCAGAGCTGTTGTGACTTTCAGGACTGGAAAAACAAAACCTCTTTAACAAAACTCAACACCAATGTAATCATCTTCATGGCAGCAACTCAAGCTTCACTTTCTCCACCCATCTTCAATGAGATCAGTTCCATGTATGGGCTGTCAAGATGAAGACTTATTTAAGAGGCCATGGGTTGTGGCAATACGTGGGGGAGGAAGCAAGTTCCTCAGTTGGGAGCAAACCCCACACTGAACCAAATCAGGATTCATGAAGAGGAGATGTCAAAGCACCAAGGGCCCTATCTTACGTACAACTCAGCAGTGACAGACCAAGTCTTCACCAGGATTTGGCGTGTGAAACTCCTAAAGAGGCTTGGGATAAGCTAATGAGGAGTTTGGGGGCAGCAATACAACATGCAATGTAGATTCTAAACCTGAGAAGAGAATTTGAGATGCTTAAGATGCAAGAGGCTGAGTCTGTGAAGGAGTATAGGATAGGCTGATGAATGTGGTTACAAGATTAAGCTACTTGGTGAAGAGTTGACTAACAAGAGGATAATAGAGAAGGTTTGGTCAGTTTACTGAGATTTGAGGCAAAATCTCTTCACTTGAAGACTCCAAAGACATGTCCCAGATCAGCTCAGCAGAACGTGCATGCTTTCAAGCACAAGAGTAGGGGGTTGCTGAGGCAGGAAGACTCAAGTGAAGGAGCCATGATAGCAAGCCAAAACAGAAGGTATGTTGGAGAGTGGGAAAAGAGGAAGTTAACAACGAAGGAGAAAAAATGCGGGACTGAGAACCTTTCCTCCTTGTCCTCACTGCAAGAAAAAGAACCACCCTGAAAATAGATGTTGGTTCAGGCCTGGCATACAATGCAGTCTTGTAAGCAGTTGGACAGTAGAAAGGGTGTGCAAGAACAAAGGAGGGCAGCAGGAGCATCAATCCCAGGCAGTAGAGATCACAGCAAACTCAAGAATTGAGCAGTTGTTTATGGCTCAGGATGCGTGGCTGATTTGATCAAGAGGTGTGGCAATGACAGTGATTGCACCACCATATGTCACCAAACATGTCCAATTTCATGAGCTTAGATCAAAGACAAGTATAAAGTTAAAGTGGGAAATGGAGAGCTGCTGGAGGTCAAAGGCAAGGGAAATGTTTCTGTCCAAACCAAGTCAGGTATCAAGATTATATCTGATGTTTTATTTGTTCCTAAAATCAGTCAAAGCCTATTAGTGAGGACAAATGCTTGAGGGAATTACTCTCTTCATTTAAAAACTCAGCATGTGTCATTATGGAACGTGATGGGAATGAGTTAATGAGAGTTAAGATGCAAAAAAAAAAAAAAAAAAAAACTCCCGGTAGAGTGGGGAAAGGTTTTTTCAAAACCATTCAGCTAACATAGTTAGCAGAGAGTTAAGGTGGAGATGTGCTGTTTGGAACTGTAAAAAAAATCAGGTTAAAGTCAGGCCAAGCTTCCAGCAAGATAGAATGCCAAAAGTCAGATGAAGAAGGGAATTCAGATGAAGTTGATGAAGTTCCAGTCAGAGGTACAAGCCAATATCTAAAATTTAGAGAGGTGCAATGTGGTTGAGTTAGAATCAACAAGCTACAATGAGGCAGTCAAATCTATGCATGGAGAAGCTACAATGAAGGAGGAGTTCTTTTAATAGAGAAGAAAAGGTTGCTGATATAATGACTAAGCCATTGTCCAAAGCCAAGTTTGAATATCTTCAGTTCAGAGTTGGTGTTTCCAGCAATGATATCAAGGAGGAGTGTTGAACGGTGATACCATGCTGGAAAGATGACGTCACGCACGGTGGGAGTTGCAAGATTTTGGCACCACGGTTTGAAATGCTACTGTGCATGAAGAAGTTGTTTTTGGTCACGTTTAAGAAATATTTCAGTGATGTGTTTAGGTGAATTAGGTTGATAAAATGATGTTTTTGATATGTTTGTACGTGCATTAGTGGAGTGTTTGTGAATTTTAAATTTGCAGCTTAGGTGGAACAGTGGCGTGTGCTTTGTATAAATCTACCCCTGTTTTTTGAATGTAAAACAGAGCAAATTTCAGTCAGATTTTCTCTCTCTACAGCTCTCTCTCACGTCAGTTTTTGGTCCTCTTTTCTTAGTATACTCCAGCTCTAAAAAACAACAGAAATGTCATCAGAGACCAAGAAAAGAGAGTTTGAGTGAAACCATAGTCATAATTTGGAACTCCTCTCTTCTTCCTGCTGCTATAACCTTCACCTTCACCTACCATCATCATATTCATTAATTCTTCTTCTGAGAATTCCACAGTTCAATTTGAAGTTTCCTTAATGAAGACCAGCTACTAGCTTACTTCAGTAGGAAGAAATGCAAAGGCAATGAAAAAAAACAAGGACATTTAACTTTGCTTTTTCTTTGGGAACACCTTTTTAAAGCAGATTAAAGGACCAAAAGCTAATTTGACATAATAATTCGATTTTGACATGTTCATATTCCACAATGAAAATATTAAAAGTTAAAAATTGTTTAAAATAAGTTCATTTATTTATCTTTTTAATCAGATTTTTTACATGAATGGAATCAAAAATTCAACTATCACATGTTTTAGACAATTCCAAGATGAACAAAATAAGTGATACTAACAAGATTTTTTCAACGTATAGATGAAATTGTATTTTTTTTACTTTGTTTACTATTTTTTCAGACAAACTGTGAGAAAATTTAACTTCCCGGCCATCCCAAGTTTCCATTTAACAAAATGGCCTTGAAAATTTTTTTCATTTTTTTTTTTTTTTTAATTAGAGAAGCTAACGTGGCACAGGTAGGATTCATTAAACATGTAAAATGGGTTAAAATGAAAAGATTAAACAATATGTGAGCAAAATATAAAATGAAAGTTTTTTAAAATTTAAAATCAAAAGTTCGCCCCACCCATTCAAATCGCTTAATCGATGATTGTTGGCAAAAATCGATTTCTTGAAACTAAACGGAGTTGTGCGATTTTCGATCGAAACTCCAATTTTCACACAAATTCAATCCTAAAACGATTTCTTAAACCCTAAATAGAATCTATGCGATTCAGCGATGCAGTCCAGATTTCTGATCGAAACTGCAAATTTTCACACCAAATTCAATCCTAAAATCGATTTCTTGACCATAAATGGAATCTCTGTGATTTCGGCGATACAGTCCAGATTTTCGATCGAAATTGCAAATTTTCACACCAAATTCAATCTTAAACCATGGCTAACATTCACAATCAGGAGGA